ACTTCTTTGGTTTTGTGCTTGGGGCGCGTGGCAAGTGGAGTGAAGGTAATAATGATTTGTTACAATTATTGGGAATGGACAGAAGTAAAAATTTTAAGGAGAGTATATGTAGACTTGTTTTATATTCCACTATTGGTATGATGGCTATATTCAGTGACAGGTAAAGATCCCGGAGTTTCCATTCCGTGTATCTTGCCAAAACTAAATTTTAGCTATTTCGGTTTCCATGCTCTAAATTTTCAAATTTTTAATATTGTTTTGAACATTAACTTATTTAGTGTTATTTAATATCTGTCCTTCAATAGAATGGTTTTAATTATATAATAAATACTTATTAATGGATGAAATTCCAATTTAAATTATTAGTTTATTTTTTTTTTTTAACTACTGGATGTGGATGCGGACTGGCCGCGTATAATAACCAGGAAAGGGCAGGTAGTCACGCCTGTACATAAATAGGGGTTGGGGTTCTGGAGGGCAGTTAGGAGCAGGGGTCCCAGGAGGGGGCAGTCAGGGGACAGGGAGCAGAGGGGTTTAGATGGGTCGGGAGTTCTGGGGGGGGGCTGTCAGGGGGTGGGGAGTGGTTGGATGGGGCGTGGGAGTCCCTGGTGTCTGTCTGGGGGTGGGGGTGTGGATAAGGGTTGGGGCAGTCAGGGGACAGGTAGAGGGTAGGATCCTAGGGGGCCAGTTAGGATGGGGGGAAGGTCTCAGGAGGGGGCAGTCAGGGGACAAGGAGCAGGGAGGCTTAGGTAGGGGGTGGAGTCCTGGGGGGCAGTTAGGGGCAGGGGTCCCAGGAGGGGGCAGTCAGGGGAGAAGGAGTGGGGGGGAGGGTTGGGGGTTCTGAGGAGGGCGGGAAGTGGGAGGGAGTGGAAGGGGCAGGGGCGGGGCTAGGGCAGGACGGGGGCGGGGCTAGGGCAGGGCTCCTCCCATCCTCTTTTTTGATTGTTGAAATATGGTAACCCTATTCCAAACCCCTCAGAGCAGGAGCGGGTAACCACCCCGCTACAAATGCACATGTATTTCATGAGTAAAGTAACTTTATTGAGAACACAAGCCATTACCATTATGCTGGGAATATAAACAAGGGGACAAGATCTGTGAAACTTTGGAACTACCAAGTCAGGGATGCCTTTGAGCAGAGAGGCATTTCATCTCATTTCACCTCTAAGTCTCCAAGTGGTCATAGAACAAGAAGCAAAAGTGTTCTTGGTTTAAGTAAAAGCAGGGGTGTTTTTTTCCCAATTAGCGGAACTAACATTCCTACTTTACTGTCAGTGATTAAGAGATGGATGTCCGTTAAATGGAAACTAAACATAACTAAGGATCAGTAACTGTGCTCTAAAATCCAATTACATGCTACATGTAAGATTGGCAATGCTAAAAACTAAAGCTGGTCAGTTTTCTGATTAAAAAATATTGCCGTGACGCCTCATAGCAGTTGTAATTCAGTTTCCTTATGTCCCCTTTCTCCTCTATGGGTTGGGCTCCCCAGTTGGACCACATCTCCTATGATACAATTGCCTCCATCCATCTTTTGGTGAGAGTGAAACCATGGTACATCATGGGAGATGTCTGAGCAGGGAGACAGGACTACACAGGAGGCTGAAAGCGTGCGGTATCTGAACTACAACTCCCATGAGGCACTATGGCAGCATTTCCAAATTGAAATATTTTGGAGTTTGATTTTTTGCTGAAGAGTTAACCTTTTCTGGGGTGTGGGGGAGAAAACTCTACTAAAAACTCGTTTTAGAGAGAGCCTGCATCTGTCTCCGAATGACTCAATCTTAGCAGATCTAAAAGTTAACAGTACCTAGATCTGAACAGCTGTGAGGAAGTGACCAAGCATTATTGGCAGATGACCTTCAACTTCAGAATTGCATAACCTGTTGGGTCCAAGAGAATCAGAGGCCACTGAACTCTAGAGTACAGGTTAAGGCCCCTCTCCTAAGAGTTAGTTTGAAAGTTAGGGGAGATTTCTCGGTTTCAGAGAATGTTCTTTTCTTTAAAAAGAAGTTACATACAATTTTACTGAATTCTGCACATTCTCTGAGCCACATAACACAATAAACAGAATAATATTAAAATGAAGGTAAATTGTATAGACCTAAGAAAGGTAAATTTGGCATCTCTATGAAGATATTTTTAATAATGAAGCCAACGCTAGAGAACAGTCGTCAGCAACAGAACGACTGTGTATATTGGCTAGTCTCCTGGAACTGTACATTATACCTGCCCTGTTAATATTCCTGTTCCATTGTGCCAACGTAGCCTGGCATAGCATTATTGCTGTGAACAGGAATAACCTCAGGGAGCAGAAAGACAGGCAGATTATTAAAAATGAATAAAACAACAACACACAGACAACCCAGCCACATAGTCTAAGAAATAATTGGCCCATTAAGTTACTTAGCATACTGGTCAAAGCCAATTAAGAACCTTTGCACCTCTGCCAGCAATGTGATAGTGCTGGTTTAGCTTCAAGTGCACTGTTTAGTAACTTTAGCCCAATCACACACCCCGCCTCAACCCACAGGCTCTATGCCTCCCACTAATGCAGATGGAAGAAAATGCTACTTTCTCACGCAGATGAATAGAACTCAGCTAAGTAAAAGGGCCAGGGAGGGGTAGGTTCTGCTCTCGGCACCCTGATGTGCTGAAGAAAGGAGGCAGATGGGACACCCCAGCTTCTTCTCCTTTCAGTGAAGTGTTGCGATTGCTTCTACTCCTTGCAGGAAAGGCTTAGAGCCACAGAAACTCCCTAGTCAGGTACCAGCTGCTCCTATTGCTTCAACATTGGATTCGTCAGCCTGGATTTGGTCTCACCTCGCTTAACAGTGAAGAGCCAGAGGGAGGTGAGCTTCCCCAAGCCCTGGAGAAGGAGAGGGCTGGAAACTCTCCCTTTGCCTTTAGCCTTACTTTAACCCATGAGCTCCAAATATTAGCCTCAACAACACACACAAGCAGAATGCCAGCAGAAGTCAAGACTGGGGGAGCAGTCTTAGATTTATCTGCTGCCTAGGACATTGTATGGGGGAACGGTCTTCCTGATACCACATTCAGATTCATTTTCACATAGGGCCTATTTTGTGAAGAGGTACAATCTGCTTCCATTATGTTTCTATAGGAAATAACAAAAGATTGATTAGAAACATCTCTGACTAAGCTGCAGATTGACTTTAGCCTTTCTTGTCACCAACCACAATTTGGAAACAGACCATGGCTAAAAATGGCTAAAAGAGATATTATTTTTGCAGCTATGGGCAATGCGTGACTCCTGGTTGGCTTTGTAAATTCTCCAAGCTCTCTGAAGACATCTAGAACAGTTTGATTTATCAGTTATATATTTTTAAAACAACATACATTTGTGATTTAAGAAAAAACAAACCTTTCTTAAAAGTTTCTCAGTAGCACATTGCCTCTGCAATCCCAATCACACGCTGTGCATTGTACAATGGAGGACTTGTTGTCACTGTTTCTTCTCTGATATTATTCTCATACACAGTGATTGTGCAATTACCACAAGAGCTCATATGAAACTTACTGTGTGTGATCTCACATCATACATCCTGTCACACCATCCGTCACTTTCATGGGGTTATTATAGGCCATCACAAGATTTTGTGCTGATAAGTCTCATGATAAACGTTGCACTTACCGAGTGCCAATGTCACACCAGTGTGCGGGTATGTGGCCCTGCTTGTTCATGGTTAACATAACCGAAGGAGAAGAAAATTGGGAATTTCAGAAGAAACGGATCAGGTATTGGTATTTTATCTATCATTATTTAACTCCAGAATCAATCACCCCCAATAATCCAGGCCGGAGGAATCACTTTATACAGTTATTTCTATACCCCTTCTCAGGCATTTCTGTTGAAAGCAGAATACTCATTTCAGTGGATGAGGAGGACTATCCCCACCCTATCCCCTTCGATTATTATAGGAGTAGGTGTTTGAATCCCACAAATACTTAGGCCCTGAACCAAAGCCCATTCATTTCAATGGGAATTTTTCCATTCACTCCATACTCCTTTAACTAGCACCTAGGGCCTGATTTAGAGAACACAGTAGCTACCCCGAGGTGTTAGCATTAAGCCCTGGTCCTGCAAAGTAATGAACAGACCCCTATCCCTTCACAGAGAATCTGCATCACAGTGCAGGATTGAGGCTTAAGTTAGTTTATTTTATACTTTAAGTTTGTCCAGAACCAGATTGGTGACATGGAAAATTCATTTTAAGTTAAAAAGGGGGGGGGGGGAGAAACAAAATGGAAAGAACCACTCTAAGTTAATGCTTTTTAATTATCTTTATCTTTAAAACAAACTATTAAAAAATTAAGACAATGTGCTACAAGTTTCTGTACAGCTGTATGAAAAACACTGAAATTTGTACATCAAAATATTCAACTAAAAGCAACCCTTATTTGACACACGTGAACATTTCCCTTTTTAAAAGGGTCCCAAATTGAAGGAAAAAAAACAACCACCCCAGTCAGAAAACCCAGTGTTGTAACACAGGAGAGTTTTGAGGCTGGGAAAGCAGATTACTTTAGGCAAGCACCACCAACAATAAGCACTGAATGAACAGAATAAAGAGCAATAAGACAGTATAAATAGCAACCTTTAGTCCTGAATCAAAAGAAACTAAAGACATAGAAAATCAGTTTGTAGATGAGAAACATATGCTAGAATCCTATTCAAGTCATCTTGGTTAGAGGGAATCTCTCTAAGATAAAAAATTACCTGTAAGACCCATTCCTTCCAGTGGGAGTTCCTATGTGGCCTGTCCTAGTTAGTCACAGTGGAACAACACACAACTTCATGGATACATCACTTTAAGCATTAATCAACTTTTTCTGTCCACTAAAAACTATAGGGCCTGAACCTGCATGCCTTGCTCATAGAATCATAGAATATCAGGGTTGGAAGGGACCTCAGGAGGTCATCTAGTCCAACCCCCTGCTCAAAGCAGGACCAATCCCCAGATGGATTTTTGCCCCAGTTCCCTAAATAGCCCCCTCAAGGATTGAACTCATAACTCTAGGTTTAGCAGGCCAATGTTCAAACCACTGAGCTTGGAAAATTCTTTTTGGCCTCTCTGGGTAATAGACTTGACTGGGAACAGTGACTGTTTTAGTCAGGCAGGATTGGCCCTGTAATCTCATCTATTGTGTTCTTCTCACATTTAATTCATAAGTGGGGAAATCAGACTCTCTCCTGATTTAGCAGATATATGTCTTGGGAACCTGGAATCCATAAAAGGATTTGATTGGATAGAGTTTTTATTTACTTCTCAGGAATCTCTTGACAAATATTTATTCTATTGTTTTCCTGATGGAAACAAATTGTATCTAGGATCCCACTTTTAATCACCTGCTACTGCAACAATCTATCATAGGTGTTTAGACCGAAATAGATAGTCACAGTTATAGCTAGTTTTCTGAGGCTCTGCTGCTATATAATGCAGATGCATCCACTATATAAAGCAGGTGCAGAATCCACAGCACAAACACTATGAGAGACAATGCATTCACTGCTCTTCTCTGCTACACAAGATAGGCACTTTTTAAACCAAGTGCAGTATTCTTGGACTCAAAGACCTTCTGGGCTGTCCCAGAAATAACGATTTCTGACCAGCCATGCATTTCCATGGTACCTTAAGACTGCACTACCACAGAGAGTAGTAGTATTTAAATGAAAAACAAACATCCCCTCCCCCAACAATGTAGAGGGGCAGGCCCTTCTCTCTAGTGAAGCCTTAGGGATTTTTTTGGTTTGATCTGTGCTGCCAAGCTAAGTGAAGAAGTTGTTGCATTTGCATTTCGTTAAGATCTAATGGCACCTTAGAAAGGATGCAGGGTAAAAAAAATCACGATTGCAATTTCCATTTGAGAAGGAGTCTGGTGGGATGGTTTGATAGATTTTAAATATTTCAGATAAGAAGAAGAAAAAATAAAATAAACACAACAAATGGCTGTTATGAGTCCTGGTCAAACCGTGGTGGGGGTATCCCTCCAGTTTTGCTTAAATGACACACTTCCATTACCAAATAAGAATTACTGTTGCCAGTACTTAAGTTCACAGATGTGGGACTATAAAGGCCAGGATGCCTGGGATTTTTCATTCAACAGTGGATTCTACAGGGCAGCCAGCTACCCATTGTAGTGCCACAATCATTTCCAAAATTTGCAGCAGTTTTTGTCATCTTTGTCATACAAACTGGCTTTCAAATGCTGCAGAATCCCAGGTACGCTGGCTACTAAACCTTCATAAGACTTTAACAGCTATTTTATGGATGTTCCTGAACTTCTTACTTTGCAATGCAACCAGTGCACTGATCCAAAGAAGAAAAAAACACCCAGTACCCCTTAAAAATAACAAATAAGTCCTTCATTGGTAATGCCTTCATACGTTTAACATTAATGTACCAGCAAAATAAATCCAAATTAGCCCTTGACATGTAATATTAATATCTAGATTTTTTAAAAAGGATCAGTTAAAATAGCAGCAGCAGCATATTGGAAACAATTATAAAACAGTTAAATTATATTTTTGAGATGCACCAAGATAAAACACATCTCAGTTTTGACAGGCTAAAACAACAGATTCTAGTAATTGATATATACAGTAGATATTTGTGCATTTACTTTTGCTAAATTGAATAAAGCCAGTGAACCTGTTTGGGAGCACTTTGACATGTGAATTCTCAGTCTGAAATTTTCACAGATTTATATATTTAAGAAAAAAAAACAATAATTAAAAAAGAGACAACCTGAGTAAAGCTCTCTTTAAGTAGAGCAATCATTATTCAATAAATCACATATTGCACCTTTAAATAAATCCTTATAAACTCTATAAAACAGAAATATCAGCCAGAAATGGGAGGAGTTGCTTCCCCTCTCCCAGCTCTCTCTCTCTCTCTCTCTCTCTCTCTCTCTCTCTCTCTCACACACACACACACACACACACACACACACACACTAAAGCTCAGAATGACACACAACCCTTACCCTCCTTTTCCTCTAGACTGAGGCACTGTGATATAAGGCCTCTGAAGGTTGTGATGGAATACAAAAAGGGGAAGATCACTACCAAAATCTAGGAGCGTCTCGCCAGCAATGTTACTACAGTTAAAATCTATATTCTAATTAGAAGTCTCAGTACAAAAATATAGGGCTCTGATTATTTTTGTCTACAGAGTAATAACCAGAAAAGGCACAATTTCCAAATATCAACATCCATTTGTAGGAGACATTTGTACTCCTTCTTATAAATCAAACGGAACACTAAGGACAAATCACAATGAAGCATATATCCATCAACTAAGTAACCAGGTACAGTAGATAAAATATGTTCCTGACTTTTATAAAATATATTCCAGAGCCCACAAGCCAGGTATCTGTATATGAAATCATACAAAATTGTAATTAAAAAAGAGCCTTTGTAATTTGTTATTTTTAATATTTATCATCTACTTCACTGTTTGTACTGCAAATGTTGTTTCGCCTACTAGTATTGTGAAGTTCCCAAGATAAAGCAATTTCCTCTGTTAACTTACAGCTTCTTTTTATACTAACCCACAACTCCAAATGACAATTTTACACGGGCATCTTCAAATTTGATATACAAGACTGAAAAAATAATAAAAGACACTGTACACACACACATGTACAATAACAGTGCATTTCGTTTTCCTGTGTGCAGGACAGTAATGGCCTCCTAGTGACATTTCTTCGCTCTCTGGTTATGCATGGTAGCCATTTGCCTTCTCAAAACCTGGTGTTGGTGCAAAATTTTCATAGATTGCCATTGCTGTTGTGTTTTGGTAGATAAGGTCTGATTTTTTGTTTCTTTGGGATTTAATAATGTCCAAAACACACTGGTTTAGGAAGACATACTGGTCCTAATGAAAAAAAGAAAAAATAATGAAGGGCATTATAGATTGTAGCAAATACATTGTTGTGAGGGTAATTATGTTCATGGATATACAATGTGCTTTTCAGACACTGGCCAGATGCACTGCAGCACCGAATATTCCTGCAGATCATGTATAAGTAACAGAAAACAGTTGCCCCAAAAATCCACAGCTCGTTTGTGATGAAGGTAACATTTTTTATATGGCTAGAAGCAGAAGCAGAAATATACTCTGAAAAGATTTTACTTCCCCCAAATGTAAGCCTCAATTCTGCAACTGACTATATGGAAGGGTCCATGGCATCTGTAGGGAGCCTTACTGACTTCAACATAGTCCACACATTTGGAATCAGTAGGACCATCAGGGCTTTAATGTATGCCTCACAATCCAGGAAAGAGAGGTTCATATCCTTTGAAGGAGATTAGAACAAAGAACAGCCGATACAGATATCCTTTGTGAAGCAAAGCCGGGGGGCATTTTTTCCTACATGGATTTTGGCTATGCCAATGTTCTTATGGCCTCTCACAAAGCCCAT